TATAACCTCTGTTCTTGACTCTTTTCTCATCTCTTTCCTTTCTACCTTGGCGATCTCAGCATGGTGTAAGAAAGAAGGTTGGATTTGGAAGTAGAACAATTCCTGGTTCAAATCCCAACTGTCACTTGCCTCTGTGACCTTAAGCAAATGTTTTTTTTTTTTTTTTTTTTTGAGGCAATCAGAGTTAAGGGCCCAAGGGTCACACAGCTAGTAAGTGTCTGAGGCTGCATTTGAACTCACATCTTCCTGACTCCAGGGTTGGTGCTCTATCTGCTGTGCCACTTAGCTGTCCCCCCATCTTTCAAACTCCCTTTAAGTTTCTCAACTCTAAAATGAGGAAGTAGACTGGGTAACCTGTAAGTTCCCTTCTATCTCTAGATTTATGGTCCTATAATGGGCTAAATTATTATCTTTATATGTGATGTCTATATGTGTGTGCATATACCAGTATGTATTAAGCTCCTACTATGTGTTCAGACTCTGTTCTAGGCCCTGAAAATACAGGATCTTGTAAGTTCCACATCTCTTTCTTCCAAATATTTTGACAAGCAACACCCCGTGCCTGAAATACATGTCCTACTCTTGACCTCTGCTTCTTAGTCTTCTTTTCTTCTTTCAAGATTCAGATCATGTGTGAATGCCTCTGAGAGGTCTTCCTTGTCCATCCTTCCCAATCTTAAATGCTTTCGCTCTCTTCAAATTATCTTATATGCACATCTATGTACATGTTGCATTCCCCAATGCACATTTTCTGTAGTCTTTAACTGTGAACATTTTGTCTTTATATGTTCAGAGTCTAGTATAGTGCTTGCACATAGTGAGCACTTAATGTCTCTTTTTTTAAATTTTTTTTTTACTTAATGTATCTTGAAGTGAAATGAATAAATGTAAAATACTTAAGATGATACAATAAACAAAGGAGTTAATAGGAAAGAAATTTCTGCCTCACCTCCCAGCCCTACTTCACTGTTGAGAGTTCTAGGAAGTTTTTTTGTCTTTTTTTGCTAGGCAATGGGGTTAAGTGACTTGCCCAGGGTCACACAGCTAGTAAGTGTCAAATGTCTGAGGCTGGATTTGAACTCAGGTCCTCTTGACTCCAGGGCCAGTGCTCTATCCACTGTGTCACCTAGCTGCCCTGGTTCTAGAAATTTTTAACAAAAAGTTTGGAAAGTCTTATTTTTTTTATTTCTACTTGCTTTTTTTTCAAATTTCTGCAGTTGGTTCAGTGAATTATATGTCTGATTCTCAATGAGTGTGCGAATAGGTGTTCTTAATTTTTTAATAGAAATATAAACTCTGAGGTACAGGGTAGTGCATTATTTTATATGGGGGAGAGAGAGAGAGAGAGAGATATTATAAACCCCTTGGAGACAGCATAGTGCCTTATTTATTTATGTGTCTACCCCTGGGCTTGGAGTCAGGAAGACTCATCTTCCTAAGTTCAAATCTAGACTCAGATACTTACTATATGAACCTAGGCAAATCATTTCACTCTGTTTGCCTCAGTTTCCTCATCTGTAAAGCAACCTGGAGAAGGAAATGGCAAACCACTAAGTATCTTTGATGAGAAAGCCCCAAATAGGGTTAAGAACAGTTAGACACCACTGAAAAACAACCATGGTCTCACAAAGAGTACTTGGAGTTGGTAACCCAGGCATCTTCTAACACCAGTTCCCATTATCTTTTTATTGCACCTTATTGCTCTGGCCTTTCTTCAAAAGAATTCTGACCATTCATGTGTGAAAATAGTGAAGTCAGTTATAAACACAGACACAGGTAAAGAATTCAATGATAAGAGCAATTAGTAGGCAGATATAGTATTGATGAAATTCATTTTATATTGTCCACAAGTTTTTGTCATGTCACCTCACATACACACTGAAAAGTGGAATAATAAATCATAACTCCAGGATACCCCACGAGAGAGACCATCTGTTGGATTAATAAATATCTGATTCAATGTCCATTTCTTAATAAGAAAAAAACAATTAGACATTCCTGTCTACTCTTCTTAATTAAATCAACCAAATTTTATGGTCATCAGTGAGGAAGAATCACAGACAGTTCATCAGGCATCAGTCTGGGTGCCCATATTTGCTGACTTTTGCTCATTGTTTATATCTGTTGCCATGGGGATAATTATTAATGTGAATTGTTCTTTCAGACTGCTCAAGTGCTGAAATTCACTTTGAGAGAACTCTCAAAGCTTCAGCCCCCTGGCCCTTACTTTTAAGCCAACATTGAAGGGCAGCTTGTTAGATACAGGCTAATGTTATCCTACCACATGTAATTTGACGTTATTGGATGCCATAATCCTTGGACTAAAATCGCAACACAGGACAGTCATCTTTTCTCTATTGCTTAATCTTTGTTATTTTTCTATCTTGGATAACTTATTATATTAACAACAGATCATTAAAAATGACATTAGTCTAGGCTATCATTTAAAAATTATAGTTGTTTTTGAGTATTTGACATTGTCATGTGCAATAGAGATTAGAATTATTTTCATGGGGCCTGCAGGGCAGAAAGTTAAAAATAAAAAGATAAAAGATAAAAAGGGGTAAATTTAATTTAGAGGTTAAAAAAAAACATAAAACTTCCTAAGAATTAGAACTACATAAAAATGGAGTAGGCTGCTTTCAGAGGTTGTGGTTTACCCTTTACTGAATATCTATAAGCAAAGTTTTAATTTTCATTTGTCAGATACATTGTTTAGATTTTTGTTGAAGGCAACGTGGTCCAATGGTAAGAGTCCCGTATTTAGAATCAATAGAACTAAGCTCAATTTCTGACTCAGCTATTTAGTGCCTTTGTTTCCTCAGCTAGTAACTTAACCCTCTTCAACATCCATTTCCTCGTTTGGAAAATGAAGGGGTTGAAATAGATGATTTCTGGTATACCTTCTAGGTCTAAGTCTATGATTCTATGACTAGTTGGCCTCTTAGGTCCATTCTGTTTCTGAGATTTTTTTTTGATTCTGTGAGATGCAGATATTGGTAATCAGAGGCTCATTGAACACAATGTTTATATCTGATAGGAAATGTTATATAATCTTAACCTACACATTGGAGATTTAATTTGTAGTAGAATATCACAGAGTATTTTAAGGGTGTATTTTGCTGTTTTTTTAATCGATAGAATCTTGCATTTTCTTCACTTTTCTGTTCCTTACAGGACTGAGAAGATGTGGTCTATTGCTTAATATACTTTCTCATCTTTTCATCAAGGATATCCTGTCCTTTATATATAATAATAGCTAAAATTCATGTTAACACCTACTATATACCCAGGAGTGGGGCCACATATGGCCCTCTAGGTCCTCAAGTGTGGCCCTTTGACTGAATCCAAACTTCACAGAACAAATTCCCTTAATAAAAGTATTTGTTCTGTAAAACTTGGACTCAGTCAAAAGCTACACCCAAGGATCTAGAAGGCCACATGTGGACTCAAAGCTAGAGGTTCCCCAACCCTATATCAAGTGCTAAGCACTTCATAAATGTCATCTCTTTTCATTTGCTCAAAAATGCTGTGAGGAAGGTAATATTATCTCAATTCTATAGATGAAGAAACTGAGGCAAACAGAGGTTATGTGACATGTCCAGAGCCTCACAGCTAGTAATTGTCTGAGGCTGGATTTGAACTTAGGTCTTCCTGACTCTAGAACCAGTGCCAGCTGCTTTTGCCTAGAACATTTTTATAAAGATTTTATAGAAATGAGAAAGTAAGCACATGTGCTGGTAATTACTGCAGAGCTACATCTAGAAAATGGAGAGTTAACTCCACATCTGCTTTCATTGATAGTAAGAATATCAAAACTGATATGTTTCAATTCTTCCAATAACATATGAACTCATTCACTCTGTTAAGTATTTTGCAAAATCCAAAGTGTTATGTAAGCATTAGATATTATTCTTCAATTGAGTATCTCTTTGAGTGACTGAAACATGGCTGGACTCCTTTTTCCAAACTATATCCAAGACACCAGCCATCCCAATTGTAGAAGCAGAAGGCTTATCCAAGTACAAATGATAGCTATCTCATCTCTCTCTTTCTCTTTCTCTCTCAAAAATATTTTAGCATTCATTTTTAAAAATTTTCAAGTGCAAATTCTCTTCCTCCCTCAAGCCCTTATGCTAACCATTGAGAAAGGAAGCAATATTATACCCTTTGTGCATGTAAAATCAAAATTATTTTTGCTATTCTGTGCTTGTTTCAATTAACATTTATTCCAAGGTTTTATGGTCTCCAAATGTTAATTGAGTTACAATCTAACAATTTCAGAAAGTAAAAAATTTAAATACATATCATATCAAAAGATGTCATAGAAGGTCTCCATGGATGAAATTATTTCTCTCATAGTTTTTTTTTAATTTTTGGCTCACCATTAACAAAATTAACAATATGAAACTGTTACTGTAGGAATGTGAAATAACTTTGCCTCAAATTCATTAATAATGATAGATCAAATAATCCTATACATTATAAAACAGAATACCATATTTTACATAATAAAATATCACATCTTTCTAATTAATTTAAACAAAACAAGAATATAAAATGCACTGTGTTTCTCAAGGACTTTTTATGGTTGCTATTTCTGTACATGATCTAAAAATGGTTATCAATTAATCAGGAGTCCTTACATTAAGTAATCCATCAAAACCTTAAAAACATTGTAATCATTTCTGTTTGGTTATGTGCCTACAAGTCCATTTTTCACAGCCAGAGAAAAATCATTTATATCTAAAGTAGTAAAATGTTCATTCGTGGCTGCAAAGACATTGACGTGTATCGGCAATATGTTATGAAATGAAATCCAGGCAGCAGAATTATTTTTAAACAAAGATATCTCTCAAAAATGGTAGAATTAAGAAAAAAGAAAGAGTATGAATGATTTCTACAGTCACAGAAGTTGTATATAAGGATTAATTATTGTCACTTAAGAAAAGAAAAAGTATTTTGTCTCAGTATTTAGCTTCCTCTGTTTTAAATCACAGCACCTTATGAAATATGCCCAGAGGATAATCTAATGTCGATGGTGTGGAAAAGGACTCCAGCAGGAGAAATGGCATTCAACCGATGTCCTCTGAATGCCACAGGTACAGTAGGAAAAAAAAATCACTTCAAATCACCATCAATGATAAGAATAAGAAAACTCTTCTTCCTGTTTATAACATCCTCCTTTCTTTTGCCTTTCTTCCTTACCTGGGAATATGATTGTCTAATAGCTAACCAGAAATAGCAAATAGCATACTTAATGGGCTTCATGAATTGATTTATTTTAAACTAAAACCTATGAGCTAATTACATGACCCAGAAAATTTTGCTAAAACCATTAGGATGCTTTCAATGTAAGGAGTGTGCATTAGGGAAAAGCAAAATAGTTATGTAAGTTGATACGTAAGATTTTAAAAAGAAAAAAAAACTACCTCTTGCCTGCATTGCATTTATTTTGATTCTTTCCAGCATCTCTGTTATAAAGATTTTTCTCTGTTCTTTGTGACTTGCAGGCACCACTAGCAGACGCTGCTCTCTCAGTCTTCATGGAGTGGCCTTCTGGGAACAGCCAAGCTTTGCAAGATGCATATCAAATGAATACAGACACTTGCAGCATTCAGTAGGTGCAAAGCCAGCTTTAGTACTTGCTCTGTTTATTCTTCGCTAATGATCTGTGTGTGAGAATTTAACCTTCTGCAGTGGAATCAAATCAGAAAAATGCCTCTGATGAAAAATGCCTTTGAGAAAAAAAATACTATGACACAATATTTGGGTTTGTTTTTTTTTTAAATCCATGCTAAATCTCTTTGTTCCTAGGGTTTTTGTTGTTTATTCTGCTATTTAAATGAAAGAATTTCCCATCTAACATAATGAAAAGGATTTTTTAAAATTCAGTTCAACTTCAAAGAAGAGAAAAATCACATATTTTGGCTGATAAAATATTTTTTTCAGTAGAAAATGAGACGCTGTTGCTTCCAGCCACTCTGGGCAATTTCATGATACTTTAAATTCTTTAATCGTTCACTAGCACGGAAATGATGATAGAGGTGCATCTTTCAGATATCAAATTTCTCATTGCAGTTTAAGACTAAGACATGTGCAAATGACTAACCTGCAGTGTTACTGCACCAGATTACTAAGAAAATTAATTACTCATGAAAGATTACATAGGCCAAATGTTCCAAAGATAGCCTCTCTTTTCCCACACACCATTGAATTATTCATAGAGTGTGATGCATGAATATTTTGAGGACAATTAAATTATGCTTGACATTTTATGAGCAGAAGTCAGCATCCTTACCTGGGATGGCTGTATATCAGTATGAGCTTCCTTCTCCTGAGCATTGTGGGAAGAAAGGCAGAATTAGAAAGTGGCCCAACCTTGATTTTGAACATTGACAACAAGGCATTTTAGTTAAAATTGTTTAAGGTTGATTATACTTCGTTTGTATTTTTTTTTACTTTCTTGCTGTCATATGCATGTACATGTAAAACATGACTAAAGACCAAATCTTGACTAATGTGCGTTTATACTTTCATTCTGAAAGCTAGTTATTTAAGTAAAGACTCATTACTTGGTTAGAGTTGAGTGAGAGAAATGTAGGTTGAACTTGGCTTTATAGAATGAAATTCAGCATTCAGTAAAATTTAAAGAGTTCCATTTGTCAATTGCAATTAACATATGAGGAGACAGCTTTCAGAATTAAACTATAAGGTGGATGATTTATTAATTTGCTAGTGTCTTTCATGATGGAAATCTTCAAATAACTCATCTACTTCCATTACTTTAATTATGACCTCTCTAGAAATAATTCTCCAATCTTTTTCTCCACACTTTTACTTCTCACTGAAGTTCTATCCTTATGTTTTCAATTTTTGGCTCAATATCTCCACCTAGGAGCTAATAGCTGAAATTCAATAAATTCAAAACTGAATTTCTCATCTTGATCCCCAGTCCTTCTTCCTCTAATTTCTCTATAGTGAAACCCAGACCAATAACCTTAGTGCAGTATTTGATTCTCCCTTTTCCCTTATCCTCATATTCAATCATCTCTCAAGTCTCCTCAATACTTGCTCTACAAAATCCATTCAATAACTTCTACTCCTGCTGACACTACCCAAATTTATGTCTTTGTTGCTTCTCTTCTAAATCATTAAAATAGGATGTTGTCAAGGTGATTACTATCCAGAGGTCTGTCAATTCAGAGACTCAAAGGCCCAATATCCAGGCCATTCAAAAAGACTGTTTGTGCCATATTTTTACCTTCTAATATGTATGTAAATGACATTTTTGTTTTGTTTCCTTCTGTTTATCTAGAGTATCTCAGTAGTTCCCTCACTGGTCTTCCTCAGTCTATCCCTCATCTATCCAAAGCATATTTCACCCCATTGCCCAAGTAATCATCACAATATAAAACTGTGGTGATATTCCTGCTTGAAAACCTTCAGTGGACCTCCATTAGTTATGGAACAAAATTTAAATTGCTTATTCTAGTATTCAAGAAGAGCAAAAAGACCTATTACAGTCAACGGAAAGAAGGGAGGGAGATGAGCATTGTTTGAACCTTACTCTCATCAGATTCGGTTCAAAGAGGGAATAACATAATGAGTTAGGTATAGAAATATAACTTACCCTACGGGAAGTAGGAGGGGAAAGGGGAAAGAAAAGGTAGAGGTGAGTAGAAGGGAGGGAAGAAGTAGAAAGGGTAAAGGGAAAGAAAAGGGAGGGAATGAATAGAAGGGAGGACTGACTGAGGGAGGTGATAGTCAAATGCAAAATTCTTGAAAGAGAAAAAGGAAAGAAAAAAGCATAAAGAGGGTGGGGGAATAGGATGGAAAGAAAGACACAGATAGTAATCATAACTGTGAATATGAATGGGATGAAATCTCCCATAAAACACAAGCAGATAGCAGAGTGGATTAAGAACCATAATCCTACAATATGTTATTTATAAGAAACACATTAGAAGCAGAGAAATACACACAGAGTAAAGGTAAAAGACTGGAGCAGATTATATTATGCCTCAGCTGAAGTAAAAAAAAAAAAAGCAGGGATAGCAATCCTGATCTCAGACAAAGCAAAAGCAAAACTTAACCCCAATTGCCTAAAAAAAAAAAAAAAGATAGACTAAAAATTAATTGGAAACTAAATAATCTAATTCTAAAGAATGAGTTAGTCAAATGACAAATCATAGAAACAATCAATAACTTCATCCAAGAAGATGACAATAATAAGTCAACACATCAAAACCTATCAGACGTAGGGCTTAGGGGAAGTTTTATATCTCTAAATGCTTACATGAATGAAATAGAGAAAGAAGAGATCAATGAATTAGGCATGCAACTAAAAAGAAGTTATAAAAAGAACAAATTAAAAAATTCCTAATTAAATACTAAATTAGAAATTCTGAAAATCAAAGGAGAGATTAATAAAATTGAAATTAAGAAAAATATTGAAATAATAAGTAAAACTGTTTTGTGAAAAAAAACAATAAAATAGATAAAACTTTGGTTAATTTGATTTAAAAAAAAGAAAGAAGAAAACCAAATTATCACCATCAAAAATGAAAAGGGTAAATTCACCACCAATGAAGAGTAAATCAAAACAATAATTACGAGTAATTTTACCTAACCATATGCCAATAAATTTAACAGTCTTGGTGAAATGGATGAATATTTACAAAAATATAAATTGAATAGATTAACAAAAGAGGAAATAAAATACTTAAACTCATTTCAGAAAAAAGAATTGAACAAGCCATCAATGAACTCCCCAAGAAAAAAAAAATTGTCAGGGCCAGATGGATTTATAGGTGAATTCTATTAAACATTTAAAGAACAACTAATTCCAATACTATATAAACTATTTGGAAAAATAGATGAAGAAGTTCTACAAAATTCTTTTTATGATACAAATATGCTGCTGATACCTAAACTGGGAAGAGCCAAAACAGAGAAAGGAAAATTATAGAGCAATTCCCCTGATGAATATAGATGCAAAAATTTTAAATAAAATATTAGCAAAGAGATTAGAGCAACTTATCTTAAGGATGATACACTGTGACCAGGTAGGATTTATACCAGGAATGCAGGGCTGGTTCAATATTAGGAAAATTCTCAGCATAATTGATAATATCAACAACCAAACTAACAGAAACCATATGATTATCTCAATACACGCAGAAAAAGCATTTGACAAAATACAGCACCCATTCCTATTAAAAACACTAGAGAGCATAGGAATAAATGGACTCTTCCTTAAAATGATGGGTAGAATCCATCAAAAACCATCAGCAAGGATTATATGCAATAGGGATAAACTAGAAGCATTTCCAATAAGATCAAGGGTGAAACAAGGATGTCCATTATCACCACTGTTATTCAATATTGTACTAAAAATGTTAGCTGTAGCAATTAGAGAAGACAAAGAAATTGAATGAATTAGAATAGGTAAGGATGAAATAAAGCTATCACTCTTTGCAGATGATATGATGGTATACTTAGAGAATCCTAGAGAATCAAGTAAAACATTACTTGAAATATTAAACAAATTTAGCAAAGTTGCAGGGCATAATATAAACCCACGCAAATCATCAGCATTTCTACATATTACTAACAAAGCAAGAGATAGAAAGAGAAATTCCTTTTAAAGTTACTGTAGACATTATAAAATATTTGGAAGGCTACCTGCCAAAACAAACTCAGGAACTATATGAACATAATTACAAAACACTTTTGATCTAAATTATTTGAAAAATATCAGTTGTTCATGGGTAGGCCAAGCTAATATAATAAAAATGACTATTCTACCTAAATTAATTTCCTTGTTCAGTGCCATACCAATCAAACTACCAGAAATATTTTATAGAGCTAGACAAAACAATAACAAAATTCATCTGGAAGAACTAAAGATCCAGAATATCAAGGGAACTAATGAAAAGAAAATCAAGGGAAGGTGGTCTAGCTGTACCAAATCTTAAATTGTATTTATAAAGCAGCAATCATCAAAACTAGTTGGTACTGGCTAAGAAATACAGTGGTGGATCAGTGGAATAGGTTAGGTACACAAGACACAACAATCAGTGTACCGGTCTACTATTTGATAAATCCAAAGACTCTAGCTTCTGGGATAAGAAATCACTATTTAACAAAATCTGCTGGGAAAACCTGGAAAATAGTATGGCAGAAACCAGGCAAAGACCAATATCTTACACTATTCACCAAGATAAAGTTAAAATGGGTATATGATTTAGATATAAAGGTTGATAGTATAAGCAAACTAGAAGAGCAAGGAATAGTTTACCTGTCAGATTTATGGAGAAGGAAAGACTTTATGACCAAACAAGATATAGAGAACATTATGAAATTCAAAATGGATAATTTTGATTACATTAAATTGAAAAGTTTTTGCACAAACAAAGCCAATGCAACCAAGATTAGTAGGGAAGCAGAAAATTGGGAAAGAATTTTTACAACCAGTGTCTCTGGTAAGGATCTCATTTCTAAAATATATAGAGAACTGAGTCAAATTTATAAGAATACAAGTCATTGCCCAATCAATAAATGGTCAAAGGACATGAACAGGCAGTTTTCAGATGAAGAAATTAAAGCTATCTATAC